GGGGGGGTTCGGGGGGTTCAAAAGAACCACCCATTTTGCTGGGAAAAGGTCCACTCTGGGTAAAATTTGACCTATGTACTTGAGGATTTTATGGTAAAAGATCCACTCTTTCAGAAAACGACCCCCCTCTCAAATTGCCGGCTAAGGGCCTGTGTGGGGCACATACATGTAGGCAGGTTATTTGGTAGACAACTTAAATTACAGTGTATATTCCACACCAAACTAAAAAAACTGCGTTTTTATCTACACACTTTAAACGTAAGGGGGGGAGGGGGGGTTAGGGCACATAGTTAATTGTATGGCAATTTTCATTTTAGTATACATACCCAAACTGAATGACAGAGTCGGCAAGCTGGACGTCAGCACATAATACTTGTGGTCCTTGGTAAAGTACTCAGACAACAGAAACCACGGGGGATTGTTGGCCAGCAACGTCCCGCACCCAACCATGATACCATACGTCATAAACATCTCCTCGGGATGGTCCACCGTGCCGGTGAGGGCTGTCCCAAGGGAAATGGCGGAGACGCCGATGAAGACGGTCTTCCGGGCCCCGAAGCAGCGTTTCATGACCAGGGCTAGCGGCGTCCCGATGCTGGTGATGCCGTACGCCGTAGCGCCTATGGTGTCTAGAATAAAATAGAATAGAATATGATAGGGTAGGATAGGATAATGTAGAACAGAACAAAACAAAACAGAATATAATAGAATAGAGTGGAATGGGGTGAATAAGATTAGAATAGATAGAACGGAGTATACCAGAACAGAATAGAATAAAATAGAATAAAGTGAAGAATTAGACTGGAATGAAATATATTAGAGCAAAAAAAAAAAAAAAAAAAAAAAAAAACAGAATAGAGTAGAATAGAATATTTCTTATTCATACAGAGAATGAGTTGGCATTTCCTGTGGTCTTTCAATGAAATGTCCAATATCTATATTAAAAAGGTGTTTTCAGGCAAAAAGTAAAGGAATAATGTAACAAAATTTTACCATATTCATTACAAACCTGCATTGCTTTTCTTTTTAATTTTTTTTTATGTTTAATTACTTTGGCCGTGGTTAAATAGGCCACTTAGGTATATAAAAATGATAAAGCAAAAGATAGAGAATACCCAAACAGCTTTTTTGCCCCCCACTATGCAGGAAAAATACAAAAATGAAAATAAATTTTAAAAATTTTACAAACAGCGTGTAACAATTAAAGGGATAATAACTCTTCGTTTTGGCCAAAAAATGAATTTTCCTGGAGTAAACAACAATTTTCCCATACTAACCAATGGTTAATGAATGCATTTTTACATTCAAAGTTAGTCTCTGTTTTTTTTTTTTTTTTTTTTCTAAAAAGTTTGGTTTTTTGTTAAAATCTCTTAAAAGATTATAACAGAGTATAGCCATCAATGGAGGTCACGTGATCTAAAGACAAGCTCAGATATAGAAATAATAGCTATGACTGCCGTTTTTGTGGTACAACAGAATATATTTAATTTCTATGAGTTGTTTACAATGTTTTTATTGTGAAATATAGATCTCATACAAAGAGTTATTATCCCTTTAAGCGATTAATGTCATGCTAAATGCTCATGGTTGACTTAAATTTTACGAAATAAGAAGATAAAGAAGAAAGTTTACCTAGAAAAGCCATCTTGGAAGTAGGAAACAATGCTTTGAAAATACCAAGAAACTCTCCGAATGACGTCACGATTCCGTTGTTCACGGTACGCATGACAACAGCGCTGATCAAGATGACCCAGCCCCAAGAGGCCACTTCGACACATCGGCCCATGTTTGGGAGCGTCTCTCAAGGAGCGCCACCTATTTTATCTGTAATTGAATAAATAACTTATGTAATATTAAAATTAGTTACATGATACATCTCACTGATAGGGTGTCCTAGTAGACTTTTAATCGATAAAGCGACAATGATGGTGATGGTTCGCTACAAAAAATTGGAAGCTAATATGGGTACATGTAGATAAGAAATAACGCCATCTTGAAAGAGGCACTCCAAGTCACACATCAATGACCCTACCTACATGTAGTAACAACGAGTTCTACGGTATAGTCTGTGTGATACATGTAGGAAGAACGATTCCTGCGATGCTTTTAACATATAGTAATTTTCAAAATCAATTTCACACACTGGACAATAGAAGTGTCACCCCCTGAATCAGAGTAACTAAAGTTATTAACCTGAAGAGGCGGAATATAAGCAATGTCAGAATATCAATACAGTTGAATTGTTCAGTCAGAAGCGTTTCTTTTGTGAAATTTGATGTTTAAAAAAAATGATACCAGGAACATACCATTCCACAGTCATTTATCTCCCCCAAAGTATTGGTTCAGTAGGGGTGACACTTCTATTGTCCAGTGTGTGTAGCAAAGTTCAAACCTGAATAGAAAACGCGATTCGGTTCACTACCGAGCAACGTACAGCTTTTGAAACAAGAACATGCCTATTGATTGCTCTGTCCTTGATTAACACATACCCATACCAAACCAAGCATTCAATTGTGTTTTTCTAGCGGATCCATTATAAAGCACATTTAATTACAAAACTCTGAGGATATATTATATAGGCCTACTTTTATCAGTCTCGTGATATAGCCTGGCATGAGATCTAGCTCATGACAGGAAATTAACTTCATTTTACTAAGATCACTCACTTGGCAGCAATTAATATGGCATTATAATCGGTATCTCCTCCGTGGAGGTCATGTTTTGCCTTTGTTGACATGCTAAGTAACGTCTAACTCAAAAACGTTGAGACGGATCTTGATAAATTTTTCAGGATAGGTCGAACATGGGTTAACGTAGATTGCACATTTTTATGGAGATCCATTTATTAATTTATAAAAGATAAATTATTGTAACTAAGATCCAACCACCACGATTTTCTAGGTCAATGCCATTTAAATTGAGATCTTTTGGCGGAGAACTGCGCACTCCTAGTGCTTTTATAGTAACGTTGCTCTAGTTTTCTAGTAGGAAATTACTAAAGGTGAAACGTCCGGATGAGGACACTCCAGTTTTAATCAGATCAGCAACAATATGACTGTATGCTCTTTTCCAAACAGAAGCGATAATGTGAATTGTGCAGGGGAGGATTAAAATAATAATAATAATAATAATAATAATAATAATAATGAATTTACTTATCACTAAATGCTACAATTGGCAGGGCCTATTCTGTAAAGTAAACAATTAATAATAATAATAATAAGTTTATTGGGCACTAAATGGTATGAATACATTTGCAGGCTCACTAGACTACATTATTTACATAATATATAAATACATATAAATATATTAACAATTTATACATCAGTTACCCCCGAATCAAACTATCAAGGCAATTCCCACAAGAAAACGCAGTAGATACTCCAGCACAGTAGACTACTGCAATCACACTGCAAACCGCAGTAGACTACTGCAATCATACTGCAAACATGCTTCAAATCTGCTTCGATTTGGGACCTAATTAGCATATTTGAAACATGCTTCTATCATGCTGTTAATCTACTGCATTAATGCTCCTCTCTGTACAAACCTATGTACTTTTTGGAGTAGAATTGCAATAGGCTATGCTGCATTTCTACTGCAAATATGCTCCACACCACTACTGCGTTAATTTTTTTTGCTACTTCGATACTACTGCATTTTCGTGGGGAATTAACACTACAGGTATGCAGAGACGCAGGTCACCAAGTTATCTCTTACAATAACTCTGATAAATTTGGATATTTTTTAACAAAGGTGGTAGTGTGGTGCGAGAAAATCAACCGTTTTTAGGAGCATGCTGTATTTAGCTCATAGTGTAGTAGTGATAGTAGGTAATGAATTCCGTAAATATCGACGTTCCTCCAACAGCTATTATCTACGCGTACTAGGATGTGATGCTGCTTTGCGTTATTATATTAACAATATCCTATGCCCACAGAAAAGTTAAAAAGGAATATCCTTTGACTTACATGTAGCTAGATGAAAAAAATGGACGTTAGATATTTATAAGGCACAAAAATCCCTCAAATTATTTACCTTGAGAAAATTGCTTCTATAAACCTGTGTTTGAGTTCCATGCTGTGTTTTCAGTTTTACCACCACGAGTAAAATTCAGCAGTCTCCACCTCTATTACGAGAGGTGTGGAAAAACGTGGAAACCTAGAGAACTCGAAAATGGGATTTAAATACGGTGTAATTGGGCGATTGAAGGGAAGGCGATGAAACATCCAGGGACATTGATGCTCTCGCCTGTAAATGTCTTACGCTCACCGAGTGCATTTATCGTAGTTCAGTCCCTTAAGGCCATTCAGTCAACCATTCAGTAGGGTGTTCGTATTCCTAAGTTCATCAACCTTATTTGACTTAATTGAGTTACACTGCAATGCGAGGTGTGTCCTTTAATGATTATTGGGTGCTTCGGAGCATCTGGACAATTTTGTTTTGACTGAAATTGGATTAAATTAGCTAGCATTAGTCATATCGGGGCTGTGAATTGACTGTGTACCGTGCAATTGTTATTCATAGCAAGGGCCTCTCATATTATTCAGTGTACCCAGTAGGTCGTGACGGGTCCTTGGTCCTAGATACTGCGTGAACTGTAGCGTAACGTGCGCGTGCACGCATGAACTGCTTAACACACGCATGCATGCATAAACATATCTTTTTACAATTCGCTGGCATTGTGCGAATCTTCGGGCAGCCGATCGTATTTCTGTGGATTTTTTTTTTCTTTTTGTTAGGTGGATTCAGTCATATTACATATTATAACGCCATTGTATGCTTTACCTATGCCAGTCTGTCTAAATCATGAATGCCTGCATTGTTGATGGAATTGGATCTATTTAAGGAGGGATTTAGATAATACAGGTCATGCAACCTGGCTTTTTTGTCGACCAACCGCGATTTAATTCCCGCAGTCAACGTCCCCACTTAGGGTCTGTTCTAGAAAATATATTTAAGGTAAAATATATGTGGGAGTTGAAAATGAGACAATTTCAAAGCGTGGTGTGGTTTCGCTTACGGCTTGTAATAATTTTCGCAAAAGTGACTTATACTCTAAATTCTTAATCCCATCATTATCCCCAAAACAGCGGTCACAGCAGTTATTTTGGAATCTATCTAGCTATCTATCTATCTATATGAAGGTTCTAAACAGCAAACTGTGTTTGTTATCAGATCATGTGGGCCTAAAAAGATGGCTATACCTCCCTTATATAATCTCTAAAGAGATTATTACATAAACTTTTTTGATTAAAAAAAGCATGGATTCATAAATCATTTGCAAATCGTCGTTTACCCCATGAAATTCCCTTTTTTATCAAAACGAACATTTGTTGCCAATTTAAAAGTTTACTGATCTACCAGGGTGTTTTTTGCCTTAACTTAATTTCACTACGACTATGTAGATCTATAACTACAATAATGAAAATAGAAATAACGTAGAGAATATGGACATTGACGGTTTGTTGGTTTTGCACTATAAATGCCTATGTTACACCTACCTTTTGTGGCGCCCTAAAGGTTAGTATAACAGAGAAGAAAATGATGTCTCAATCGCCATTTCCAACAATAGGTTTTGGCTGAGCTCTAAAGAAAAAGGTGAACGACTGAGAAGGACCTTTGCCCCAGGAAAAAATTGCAATGGAGGCGCAGAAATAATGTACACAAACTTGACGCTTTTTAAACGTATAAAATATGTGGGGACGGTAGGACTGAAAATTGTGGTGTTTGCACTGCTAAGTAAATAAACTCAGCTGAGTGCCAGAATAAGAGCAACAATATTATACATTGCGGATTTAGGGGGGGGAGTGGAGTGTCAGAGGGGTCCTGACCACCACCACCCCACCCCACCTTACCCTTTCGGTTTCTGGAAGAAAATCACACAATATTCCCCCGTTGCTATTAGAATTTTGAGGAGTCAGATAATACAGGTCATGGAATTCTGGCTTGAGTCATAGTTCTAAACTGCACCAAATTTCACAGAACCTCTCCAAAACACCGAACCCCACACCAAGGAGCAAGGGTCGGCTTCGTTTTCGAGTCCTGTCATTCTAAATAACTGGCCCCCTCCTTCATATAGGCCTACATGTAATCCTGTATTCGCCCCTGTCATAAGACTGCTAACATGACTTGCATTTTTGTAAACCCGCGTGTAAGAGAAAGTAAATCAAACGACCACGCCTTAAAATTCTGGCGTGTTTATAAACAGCAGTGCCGTTATAATAATATTAATAATGATATTTGCGTCTCATGTTTGAAAATAAACCCGGCCATAATAACATGTGAAAGTACAACTGAAATTCACAAAAAGTTCTTTGAGGTAAGTAACTGATCAGTTAAACAAATAAAAAAGAGGGTTTATATAAAAGCTTTTCAATCCCCCTCGTCTGTATTAAATTCACTTCTTCTAAACATCATAACGTGTACCATTTGCTGTCTTTAGTTGCATCATTTTGTAAGGGAAATATAAACTTTTCAGTGTCATTAAATACATTAAAATGTTTTAAAACAGAATATCAAAGTTATAAGGTCTTCTCAAATGTCTCTACATTATAATTAATCAAAAATTGTTCCTCGCCCTCTACTTCATTGGGTTTACATTGTATGCATGATACATAAATGCTCATACAACGGTGTATTAGATTAACTCCAGTTTGTATGTGTATTCTGTCTATATTTTTATGCATCTCTCTCTCTCTCTGTCTATCCATGTAG